GTACACTGCTCTGTTTCATACGAACATTCTTGGTTTTAATCCCAAGCAATTAAAAGTATTAGGCTGTCAGCATTCATGGTCACTGGACTTACTGAGAAATATTTAGAACTATCTTATCAAACGTTTAACATTTTAGGGACCAGTGGTTTTCATAAGGTTCATTTTTAATTTGCAATAAGAACATTCCTACTCTATTTGGGTACTGAGTTCTGCTTAGACTCAGGCTTTAACTCATATTTTGTCTTCAAGTTCTAGGAAGTACAACGTATCAGGTTGCTGTCACAAAGAAATCTGTGGTCTGAATTCAGACTAAAACCCAATCATAGAATAGAAGGTAGGAGGAAACGTACTTGCCAGTCTAACATATTGGGTGTGCAACAGCTCCTGTCCTAGACCCTGTTGGTTCAGGTCTCCGGCCTCGTGACAAGGGCAGAGGAACACACAGACACTGTCCATACGATGCATGTTACCCCGGGTGACCTGACTTTGTTCCCTGTCTGCTCAGGCTGGAACTCTAACCCTGTCGCCAGTGTCATAGGTCCTCCCCACGGGGGCTTCACATATACTTTGGGATAAACCCACTCCTGCAGGCTCAGTGCTATTCCAGCAGACTGCCACCTCGGACACAAGCCACAGTGACTCTCCCTGCTCTGTGGGACACACGTCCTCAGGTTCCCAAATCTGCAGAGCCACGTGCAGAGCCTTACTCTTTCCCTCTGCGTATTCTCAGCCCCAGGGTTTCCAAAGCCTGAGATCCAATGAGTTATACCGCTGAGCAAAACACCTTTTTTCAGCTTTTGTTTATAGTTACTTGGGTTACCATGAAACTCAGGGAATCTCACCTTCTAAAATGTGAGGCTATGTTGTATCTGAAATTGATTAGAGAGACATGGTTTGGGTTCCATTTCCAGATGACTGCTGGCCCTCTTAGTTAAACAAGCAGAGATGCCTGCCCATCCTTGCATTGCACAGGCCCGTTCATGACTGAATCCCTCAGCTCAAACCTGGGATCCTCCCAGTGAAAGATATAATACTCTTCCAACTGCCTTCTTTCTCCTGCTCCTGGGAGATTCTGAATAGAGCAAACCAGTTGCCCCTGGGATTTAGAGCTCATGGACTATGGTAGGATGAGTATCACTACCACTGGCAAGCCCTCCATGCTCCCCAGCACACACACACACACACACAGGGCAGCATTGTGGGAGAAAGAAGCAAAGCCTTCCTGGAAATTCAAGATATCCATTTTGGCAAGAAAGCCAAGGAAACATTCAGCGATGATGGTGACTGTCTGAGAAATTTGTATATGATGGAGGAGAAAAAGTTCCCAATGAAACACGTGAGAGGTGTTAGGGCCAGAGGAGGCCTCTGCAGCAGGGAGGAAGCCCAGAGCTCGTGACAACTAACACTGCATCTGCGGCCAGCAGGAGAGTGACATCACGATGGGGCATCACGATAGACTCAATACACACTGACAAATACACATCCAGAACTGAAAGTCTCCCTTCATCACTTTTTATTTTTCTTTTTCAAATGGTCTTGACTATTTCCCTACATTTATTATTTAATATGTATTTTAGAATTTCTTTGTCATGGCCCCCCACCCCCCATGCTGCTGTGATTACAATCGGAATAGCACTTTAGTTAACTTGGCAAGGTTTGACATGGCATGTCTTTGCATTTGTTCATATGGTTTTTTTTTTTTTAACATCTCATTCAACTTTCCATATATTCTTTACCTGCCTTCCATAGATCATTACTGAACTCAGCAGAGTTATTTTAGTTTTGCAATGAGATCTTTCTTCTAATATATTTCTCACTAATTGTTGGTAGACTATAGATGTGTTATACTAGGTTTAAACATTAACTTTATAATATCAAATTATTTTTAGTAGGCTCCTGTGAGTTTTCCATTGTTTAATCATGCAGCTATACATAATTCCTTGGTAATTTCCTATAATGAAATATTTCACAGGACTGAAAAATGTGCATTTCCAAAATAAATAGGATATGGTAGTGGTATAATACTATCAGATTCTTTGAATGCTCCTAGATTCAACTCACAATAGCATTTTGGAAGGATGTTTTACATCTATATTTTGACAAATCAAAATTGAAATAATTATCAATTTGTCAGCTTTCAGGATTCAGTATCAGGGTGAGAGTGACTGGAATGTGAATTAGAAAACATCATTTTGGATAAATTCCTGCAAAAGAGTCTTCACAGGAAATGAAACGAATTAAACATTGCTGGGCCAACCACAGATGTGGGTGTACAGGATTCAATCCTCAAGAGCATCATGGGAATGCTGACCCAGAGGAGGCATTAGCCTGGCCTGTTCAGAAGCTGAGGGAGACCCCGTTATCCTGTCTTCCTTTCTCAGAGGTCAACTCAGTGGTCTCTGAAAATAGAAATAAGCCATCAACCCTCCCACTGAGAGCTGAGGAATTACTGACACTACTCCCGAATGGAAGCTCCACACTTTGGCAAATACACTGGAGACAGGGGCCTGTGTGTCTCCCACGGATGGATCAGTCTGAGATTGTCCTAAGCATCTTCACTAGCATTATCCAGCATCTGTAATGCAACATGAAATTCCATGCTAAAATCACACAAAGAGTAAGACGACATTTAAAGAACTATAAGCTTCTGCACTGGGATGGACTTTTTCCTATTATACATGTAATTAGTATGCAGACCATTGGGCACTTGCATAAGCCAGAGCTGAAGATAAAATTATGTAAACAAAATTAACCTTATTTTGGCTTCAGAACACTGGAATAATATTGTTTCAAGGTTGGATGTTATATTTATGCTTAAGTGTTTCCTTAAATAAACTTTCTGAAGAATGTTCACTAATCTCGCTATAAGTGAGTACAAACCTCCTCCAACAGGGACAAAACCTTCAGGAAAACATTGGTCCCCCCCTCCTGCCTGTCATAGTTAGAGCTCTGCACAGCCAAATGGGTGGAAAGAGCTGCCCAGAGTGGAAACTTGCAACCTCCACACCAGGAATATTAATCAGCGGCGAACTGCAAACCGAGCTCTAAATTGCAATCCGTAGGGATTCCTTACCACAACCTGCTGATTTCACTGGATTTCTTAAGAGTCACTCGATCTGAGGGCCTGATCAGGAAAAGTCAAACCTCCCATAGCTGCAAGAAAATAATTCATTTCTTTGGGGTTAGCAGGGTGTAATTGGTTTTAAAAAACATATGGCTAATTTTTTTCTTCAAACTGTGAATAGTCTCAAAATTATTATGATTATAAAGTAATTCACATTCATGTTATTAAAAGAAAAAATCAGGACCAAAGGTTATAATGGTACATTTTAAATCACTTATAATCCCTCTACCAAAAGGTTACTACTGCTAACATTTTGGGGTAGAGCTTTTTATTCAAATAACTCTTCTGAAAGGATTCATGTTCACTTATAATGTCATTAAAAATACTTGTCTTCCAAATGGAGAGCATGTAATTTTTAAAAAATAATCTGAATTCATTTTTATTAGAACTGTTTTCCTTGCACTCTATTATAGGAGATTGAAAAATGTTACCTTAATCATTACATAGGGCGGTCATAAAAAGTTCGTGTGCATTTAAAATAATGTACAATTTAAATTTGTACACAGGCTTTATGGCCACCCTGAATAGCATCAAAATAATAAAAAAAAAATGTGAAGTAGCATCGCTTTTCTTAGTCATCAACAATGGTTTATGTGTCCAAATATTGACTGAAAGAGTTTTATAACAGCATTAAAATCATGAATATATGATTTGTTATTTATTTATAAAGATACCCAAAACATCTTTACTAGCATTTTGTCTCCTTTCTTGCTTTCTTTTTCTACTTCCAAACGTCCCTCACAATCTGTCCTTTGGTTCCCACCTCACTTCTTAGTGCTAAAACCTGAATTCTATTAACCTAATGATTAAAACCAATGATAGGAGTTCACCAGAACAACTTTTTCAAAACAGACAGACTATGAATATAGGTTTTTTTGTTTGGATGAGTATGAACATATAATTCATAAAATAACCATGAATAAAATCACATGAAATTAGTAATACATGTTGCTTCTAGGGAGGGGATTGAGCAGCTATTTTTATTTTTAACTATTATGGGCACATAATAGTTAATATACTGATAGGGTACATGCAACTTTTTGATACAGGCGTACAACGTGAATTAATCAAATCAAGATAATTGGGGTATCCATGGTTTTAGCCATTTATCATTTCTTTGTGTTAGGGACATTCCAGTTCTACTCTTTTTGTTATTTTAAAGTAAAACCTAAACTTACTGCTGGAAGGAAATCTTTTATATATGCTTTTATGCATTATGAGTGCTTGTTGATACCACTTACTCAAAAAAAATTTAAAGATAAATCATATTCACACATATATCTACAAATACACAAAGTTATTGAGTTGATTGGGGATAGATTGCTACTCAGATTCCATAATTTACTAAGTGACTAGAGAAATAAAACCATTAACTGTAAACGTGTCAGCTTGTGGGTCTGCAATGGAAAAATATTTTTTTCTTTTCTCTGAAAAGTTTCTGTTTCTATTCCATAGAAGGGTGCTACGACAGGCTTAGGGCACTAGGTTTGAGTCAGTGACCTTGTAACAGCACCCCTGTGCTTTCTCTATTGTGGTGTTATGTCGGGCTGTGTGTCAGCGTGTTGGCCTAAACACAGTGACTCACTCACACACACATACACAGAGGGCAGCGTGCTAGGAAAATCATCTGAAATTGTTAGTTGCTTTGGGGGCAGCTGCCCTGAGCTAAGAAAAGTAACAGAAAGTTGAATTTCCATCTTGGTCTTTTTTGAGGGATACATTACCTTGGTTCTCGGTTAGGTAAACCATATTCACACGTTTGGGTAATATCTGAGTGTCAGCGATGCTGTTTAAGGACCACAGATAGTTTCATTGTTCTATACAGAGCTCTAATGTCCTGCATTTTGCCTCACTATTTTCTTGCTTTTATTTGCAGGTAGTGAAATCAAAGTTATCCAAAGACTATCACTTTATTAAAATGAAAAGATCAAGGAATCATATTGTGGGAAAATACTTCAGCAATCAAAGCAAGCAACAGCAAGACTCTGTACCAAATTTTGAATCACCATATCACGTCAGAGGTCCCATAAATCAGGTTTGTTCTGAAATCCTTCTCAGCAGGATGTGTGAGAGTAAAAGGATGGAGTAGACGCTCTGCAGGAAAACTGAATTTAGCCTCGGAGACAAGCCACTGCCCCGGGCAGTGGGCCGGGAGCCAAGCCTGTGTACCACATGCATTTTGGATGGATCACACGCACGCATGCACACTGATGCACACGTGGTCACCAACGATGCACACGTAGCTAAAACAAATTAACAATAACACTTTTCTTATAGCTTTATAAAGCCGAGGTGTGAACTTGAACTCCACTTTGTTTCAGAGTGAAAGACAGACCTAGAAAAAGGTTACTTGAAGTATAATTATAAACCAGAACCACTGTGGGCCAGGTATGGCATTGTATTAATAAAGAGAAATAAAGACACTTGAATTACGTAAAAAACAGGATAGCGCTCTTTAGTTTGTGTGACCATCTCCATAGATACATTAATGTTGAAAGGGGGGAAAGCAATTACATTCCACTTGCAAGCGGAGGTTGTGCTTATGATTTCTTACCAGGAGAAAAAGTGGCATTTATGATGGCCTAGGCTTTGTGATCGAATGCTTATGAGAAACATTTCCTCCTATGTTTTTAAATTTTTCATAGTGAAAGGGAAAGAGCAGGAATGCTCCTCAAGAGAATGTGAAGAGATTCTATGAGACATACAAAAACTAGAATAGTTTTTAGTTAAAACACCAATGTATTGAACTTTGTACTCCTTGTGTTTTCCATAAACATTCCTTTCTGGTCCTATCTGTGAACTTGCAAGGGTAAGCGCAGTCTCAAATTGATGAAATACATAGTTTTAAAGTAAGGAACAAAATGTAGTTACTTGTGTATTACTTTAGTATGTTTCATTGATGATATTTCTTAAGAAAGCTTTTTGTGCCATTATAGCCCTATGTAACTTAAAATTACCATTACATTTTATGTAAATATTTTTCCAAGGATTATAAATTCTCAAATTGATAGGCCTATTTTTCCCCAAAACATTTGTGTAGAGCCACAGGGAGAATTATGTTACTAGTATCTGTATTTTGACTTTCCAGAGCAACTGTATCTAATCCAAATTGAGAGTAGACATAAAATTATTTTTCAATTAAAACTGTGGCGTCCATATAAAACATACCTAATTGTCGTGTTTAGAACTTTCTCTTCTATCTCTTAGGTTTATAATGATAAATTTCCTTATTATACACACACTTTGTTGTGAGATAACACCTCACAGTTACAATGGCTTTTAAAGAATTATTTTTCATTTTTAGGAAAAAAAGAGACCCAAGAGGGTTCATTCAACACATGGCTGAAATTTCCAAATGCACAAATACCTCAATTTCACTGCAATATGAAAAAAAAAAAAACCTACTTTGATAAGTTTCTTCGTATGAATAGCCACCTCCTTTAAATACTCTATTTTTATATATATTTTTTTATGAAGACGAACAGGAATTTATATTTAACTATCTTAAATTATATTTACATAAATGCAAATACAACTTGATAGAAACAATCCAGACGTGCATCTTACAGATGATAGATTTTGAAAAGAACGGTACAGAATTCACGTTACATATGGAAGTCTTTCTAGTGTCTACACTTCAACGCAAGCATTGTTTTTAGGTTTTCAGTGATTTTTTTTTAAATGATATAAAACACTGCCAATTCATGCAACCCTTCCATCATCTTTTAACTTATTATATCCCTGTCACAGTATTACAGTCACTGGGTATTTCTTGTCATTCACTTTCCACCTAATTGTAATAACCACCTGGCTGAGGCTAGCCTGGCATTTCCCTCTTCACCATTGAAATAATAATGGATTTTAGAAACGATTGTAATAATGTCATTAATAAAGTCTTCCTGGCAATAGTCTGTGTTCAGAGTATCTTTTATTTTCCTTTTTACTGGAGATGTACAACCACACAGTGACCACTTGGCAAGGATGTTGCCATGTGGATTCAAGTATGGGAGTGTGGTTAAACAGGATTACTACAGGGCTCCTTCCAGCCCTGAGGGTCTCTAGTTTATGATCAGAACTCCCTACTCCACAGTGACTAAGGCTTTTGCTTTTAAAGATAAGACACTCAAATGCTGGGGTTCGTTTTAATTACTTCTTAATTGAAATTATACTTTATTTCTCATAGGTGTGTGTGTGTGGATGTGCAAAAGTGTTTGTATGTGTTTAGAAAGTTCCGAATATCAGTGGCGAAAAAAAAATAGGAGTAGGCATGTTAACATATTTTTAGGTGTAAAAGTTACAGGAAGTATATTATTTTTGGTAAGAATTTATTAGTATGCAATCCAAACTAAACAAAAGAAAACATTTATAGTATTAAAAGTCAAGAATAACTGGATAAACATTTCCAAGCATCACTGTTGACCTAGTGTGTGGGTGTTTGTGTGTGTGGGTCAGGGGGTGTTAACGGCACGGTGTACTATGTACCAAGCCACCCAAGTAGGCAAATAAGATCCTGTACAGACATGAAAAAGAAGGGCTCATCATTGCCTTCTCATTGAACTGACTTCGAGGTCATTCAATTTTCCTCGCGTTATTTACCCATGTGCCTAGCAGAACAGTAATTCCAACTGAGAAAGTGTTTGAAGAAATGACTAATTTTTGAGATGGTGTTTATGGAGAAAAAAAAAATAATGCTCTTCTGCATCTGAAGTTTCTTCTTTTCGTTCCATTTCACTGAACAATTCCAAGCAGAAAGACAGAAACGCGTCAAAAATTATGTCACTCAATAAAAGTTACTTCAAAGACATAATGGCTGGTGCAGGGGGTGGAGTGTCTGAGGTAGTAAGAAGGTTGGTGCCTAGATAGCTAATCACGGTTAAGATCCCATTAAATATTGCCCTACGGGGTCCTTCATTTGATTAAAGTCTGAAACAGTCATCAATATCTAAAATTTTTCTCCGAATTTTCATCTTATAAAAAAATTTAAAAAGTCACCAAAATTAGTAGTTGTGATTATTGTATTTAAAATGACCAAACATAACTAAGTTCGCGTGAACCTATAACTTCAGAAACAGGTATCTAAGCACAGAACGAAAGCACAGCAGATTCTACTATTTCAACTGAATCAAGGAAAATTGCTCTGAAAAACGTTACTGTAGGTCTTTTTTTTAACGTGTATTTAAAGTTTAAATGATTTTGATTGCTCTTGGAAACATATTTGGAGAGATCACTTCAGCTTAGGAGGATGAACCAAAAGTTGTCAGAAACCCCCCAAATGCCACGAAAGACAACAGGATACTGCCGTGTCCGCAAACCAGATTTTATATTTGGCAGGGCTTCCAAGGTTTCATACTGTCACAGAGCCTTTTATCATGTTTTTATTGCTGCCGTAACTGCTATTATCAACTTCCATATTTCCTTCATGATTCATTCGCTTGGTGTAGGGGGCTGCAGAACTCACTTTTTTTCTAAATGATATAGACCATGCAGTCAGTCCTCCTAAAATGGTATTCCATTTGTTTTCTTTATGTTTTCTGAAATAGAAAGAATTCACTTTATGGCTCTATTAAATGTCAGATCGCTATGCTTTAACATATTTGATACACAATCAAAATATTAATTCTTAAAATGTGTCAAAAGTATTTAAAATCTTGTCTATTTGTAGTATAAATAAAAATCAATACTTAAACCACAACTGATAGTAAGGACAAAATAAAAGCAACCACCTTTAGAAGAAACACTATGAAGAATTCCTACAGGGTGGTAATACTGAAATAGATTAGGTTTTGAATTTGATTTATTCTGACTGGCATTTTCTCCCAAATCTGTAACATTCTCTACAAAGAACTGTTTTCATTTAGTATTTTAAAATATTTTTTCTGAGCCTTTCTGTAATATATCTGGGGGAAATATTGCATTATAGATTGTGTGATGAACAGACATTTAATATCTATCCAAGATTTTTTGTTTGTTTGTTTTTTGAGACAAGAGTCTCACTATGTCGCCCTGGGTCGAGTGCCATGACAACACAGCTCACAGCAACTTCAAACTCTTGGGCTTAAGCAATTCTCTTGCCTCAGCCTCCTGAGTAGTTAGGACTATAGGCACCCACCACAATGCCTGGCTATTTTTTTGTTGTTGCATTTTCATTGTTGTTAAGCTGGCTGGGGCCGGCTTTGAACCCACCAGCCTCCATGCATGTGGCTGGCCCTGTAACCACTGTGCTATGCATGCGGAGTCTAACCAAGATATTTTCTTAGATGATTTATATGTAGCATCAATTATTTTTTTATTATATGAAATTAAAAAATCATACTTTTTATTACATGAAAATGTAATTCTTATGAAATTTATTTATTTATTTATTTTTTTATTTTTTTTTTATTTTTTTGAGGTGAAGCCTCAAGCTATCCCCCTGGGTAGAGTGCCGTGGCATCACACTCACAGCAACCTCCAACTCCTGGGCTCAAGCGAGTCTCCTGCCTCAGCCTCCCAAGTAGCTGGGACTACAGGAGCCCGCCACAACGCCTGGCCATTTTTTTTTTTTGGTTAAAGCCATCATTGTTGTTTGGCGGGCCGGGCTGGGGATGCAAACCCGCCACCTTAGGTGTATGTGGCTGGCGCCTTAGCCGCTTGAGCCACAGGCGCCGAGCCATGAAATTTATAAGATGTTTAGATATATCCTAAAATCAAGTATTGGTAAGTCAGAATTCAGAATCAACATGGTTTCAAAAATACAAAATACATTTAATTGATTCTTAATTACATAGTGACTTATTTTATGAATGGCTGAAGAAATGCACCAATTCAATGCAGGTTTAATGCTAAGCTAAACAATTTAATAGTGATAGTATGTAATTTATTGATATATGTTGCTGATTGTATTTTCACTTTTTTTTAATCATAAAATTTGTTCAAAATCTGTAGCTTGAAATCTCAGTGTTTGGCATCAAGGTCAATACTTTGTTTTCACTCTTCAATTTATTTGAAGTTTTCCTGCTTTTAAAATGAAGTCTTTAATTTGAATTTTGGAAAAAGTTTTAAAACATTAAAACAAAGCAACATAACATCATAATATAATCATACATCCACCAATCTCCATTTACATAGAAGAGTTTTCTTGGTTTCCAGTAGATCTTTTTACTCTAATAGCTGGAGATGGATGTGGGGGTTCAGAATTCTTGTACATACAAAGTACATGGATGATGGCAAATGCCATCCTTGAACCAAACAAACCTACGTGAGTCCATGAGACCCATCACCATCGGAGGGGATGAGAGAGAGGCTCAGCCTGGGCCTTCAGTTCCTGAACAGACTCTACCCCACTGGGCTCTAGGATGGGTACGTATCATAAGCACTCTCCAGCTGCCTTTGACAGCTCTTGGACATCTCTTCAAACCTTTTCTTACTGTCTAAAGTCACTCAGGAGGATCTAATTCTGAAAGAAAAAATAAATAATAATTTTAAGTCTTTATTAGACCAAAAATGAAAATTTGGATCAGCCAAACGGCAGGTGAATGTGACATCAGTATAATCTGTCTTCTAGAGAACTAGAAATAGCACCCCATTTTTTTTTTTTTACTAAACTGTTTTCTTTGCCCAAGAGATTGTCTCCTGGGACAATTTGTGCTTGTTTTTGCCTTTAAAATGAAAACTTATGCAGTATATTTTCTGTGTACGTTTAATATGTAATACAAGATACATTTTAAAGCTTACATTTTTATGTTCTCCTCCTTGCCTTAATTACATGTAACATGAAGCTTATGTTTTAATGGGCATGAGCTCTCTAGTTTTACAGTATCATAAAGACTTTATGAGCCTTTTGTTAAAAATCAGTGCCTATGTCATTGGCAGGGCATGGAATTATTTGCAGCTACTTCTACTTATAAGGTACAATTTTGTCTAAATTAAGAATAGTGTGGGGGGACAGGGGATGGAATCAATGCCCTGGTAGCATAACATCAGTTTAGGCATCAAGTGGCACAGATTGGGTACAGCCACATGTGTACGCCCACGGGGAAAAACCTGGTCTCTGTTCACACTTGCCTCTAAGAATACCCATTTCAATGGTTCACATTAGTTATGCAAAATCAATGGCATGTTTTTTAAAAGGGTGTGGATGCAACCCTTAGCACAAGTTATTCTTGCCAAGAATAGGAGTAATTTCAATAGGATGGAGTTTCCAGGGCCATGTTATTGGTAAACAGTCGGAGCTCTCTCTTGGCTACCTATCTCAGAAATAAATTGATACCTTCCATGAATTATTTATAGATTCTGAGATGAGGCTGATACAGACATCGCATCTCAGGTTTTTATTTCCCAAAAGAATGGGCAATCTCAAATAGGAGATTGGCTTAAGTGGTGTTTTTCTGTTTCCTGAGGTCATCATAAGTCTTTGAAGTACCGAGTTTCTTGAAGTCGATTTCTCTTCCAATAGAAGCATCCCTGGGCAGTCATCTTCAGTAAACTGTTATAAAATACAGTGAAAATAAATGCCTCTCCTTCTCCACTGATCATGGACTTGTTACGCTGCCTCTGTAGACAAGAAAATCAAAACTGCTGGGCTAAAACCAAGCCTTCTCTGGTTTGCATCTGAGCAGGGTGTGTATCAAATAAAGGACTTGAAAACAGGAATTCTGGATTATTTCAAACAAAAACTCATTCATGCTGTATAAATACACACAAGTGTATACATAAAAAATGTGCACACAGAGTGAAATATATAATAAAGTACCAAATGATCTTATAACCATTGAATTAGTTCCTTTAAAACACTCCTTTTATTTTTGATTTATAGCAGGATGTAAAACCTTTAGAATAACAGGTTCTATACCTCTGGATGCCTCTGCCAGGTGCTGGTCTGGACATGTGCGGAATGTGGTTCAGGCCTCTGCCAAGCAGTGACAGAGCT